GGCTCAGGTCATGATCCCAGGGTCCTGGGATCGAGCCCCGCATCGGGCTCCCTGCTCGGCAGGAAGCCTGCTTCTCCCTCTCCCGCTCCCCCTGCGTGTGTTCCCTCTCTCGCTGTCTCTCTCTCTGTCAAATAAATAAATAAAATCTTTAAAAAAATAAAATAAAGAAAATAGCACATTGCTAGTACTTTTGAGGCTCCGTCCATGACCCTTTCTGAATCCACTTTTTTCCCACCCCTAGAGGTAAGCACTATACTGCATTTTGTGTTTTTTATTCCTTTGCCTTGCTGTAATGGTGTACCACATGTATAATGTTTTGTTCTGCATGTTTTAGACCTTTTCATAAAGAAATTGTTGCTATGTTTTCCTGCAACTTGCTTTTTTCATTTACTGTTACACTCCTGAGATTTAATAGTAGTTAGTGCAGTGCTCTAGTTCATACTTTGCTGTTCTATATTTCTTCTTGATATAGTCTTAACAAAACAGTGCAGTTCGTTTATCCATTCTCCTCTTTGGACTATGAGCATTTTATCAATGTTCCTTAGTGTACATGCACAGTTTTTCTAGGAGTAGGGGTTTCCAGCTGAAATAGCTAAAGCCAGTTGTCTTCCTAAAGTGGATGTAAAGCATTAACTTACGTGCTTTTTATTTTCGGAGGCATTTCTTGGTATCCTTGTTCTATGCCCCTCACAATTATTGAAACTTTTCCTTTTTAAAGGCCAAATTATATTTCATTGTATCATATACTATAGGTACTTTATCATTCCCTAAATGTTGGGCATTTCGATTGTTTCCAGGTTTTCATTCTTACAGATAATACTTCAGTGAACATTATAGTCGAAAGCTTTGTTTATATCTTCTATGAGATGATTATTATTTACTGTTAAATTATTATTTCCTTTATAGATTCCTTAAAGTAAAATAACTGAGTCTAAAAAGTATATATGTGATCACATCTGTGAGAATGGCCATTTTCAGGTTTTCAGCACATTCTACTTTTTTTTTCTCTAGTTAGATTGTAAAAATGGACTAGGTTGGACTTTCATGTAGATAGACAGACATTGCTATTCCTTATTCCTGTCCTAAAAGGTAGGTCATTTTCCTAGTGTCTTGCAGTATTCTAAAGGTTTCCTTCCTTGTTTTCACCTTTCCCAGGTGGTGGCCAGCTGAGATCTGCCATCCTCGAGCGGTACCTTCCAATATCGATAAGATGAGACATGATGTGGGCGAGTTTCCTGTACTCTTCTTTGGGTCTAATGACTATCTGTGGACACATCAGGCCCGAGTCTTTCCCTATATGGAGGGGGATGTGAGCAGCAAGGATAAGATGGGCAAAGGCGTGGATGGGACATATAAAAAAGGTAACTTTATATTTTTGTTTCTCAGGCCAACACAGACCTCTGTTGCCCAAGTATCTATTCTGTGTTAGAATTCACTTATGTTCTGTTAGCAGCTGTGTTCTGCTCTCTGGGGCAGCTACAGGATTTTACAGGAAAGTTGATCCACATAATTCATTATTTTTGAGCCTAGCCTTTATGTAACAGGAATTTCCTTGAGGGAGGTTTTTGTCTTACCAGTTCTGTTTTCTCAGCATCTTATCAAGTACTGGAGCTTTGGAACTATTTTATAGCCTAAACCCTGTGGTTTGCTAGACAAGGGTCAGAATCTCTAATAGAGTTGTGTTTGTTCCAAGGAAGTTCCAGAGAAGTTATAGAGCAAAATAAAATAGTGAAAGTCAAAGCATAAATGTTCTGAATCAAAAGAGATTTTTTTAAGCTGGCCTAGCAGTGAAGGAGTGGGGACATTTGAGTTAGAAGGAGTTGAGTCAACTATGAGCCTCAGTTTTCTCTTATTATATAATGAGTAAAGGTTGTACTGAGAATTCAGTGAGGTAATAAAAACAACCGGCAGAGCACATAGTTGGTATCCAATCAATGATAATTATCTTCTTCCTTTAGCTGTCCTTTGAAAGGCAGTATAGATATCTCTTATTATTCGAAGATACTTGGACATTGAAGTATATAGATTTTGTATGGTGAGGTGGAGATTCTAAGCAGGTAAAACTTTCTCATAAGGTGAAGATTCAAAGAAAATTCTAAGCAGGTGAAACTTCCTGGATGGGGAGTGAGAATCATGTCCATAGGGAACAAGTTTCACAAAGGTTCCATTTGCCCCATGTCATTTCAGTGGGTCCTCGCTTACCTTTGGCCATGTGGTTTCTGTGTGGATATGGGTTATTAGTATTAACAATATAGGAGCTTGGCTCTTGAGTCTTGTAGTCTTGGATGGTCAGGGACCACTTGACCAACATCTTTGCCTGTGTAGAGCTGGCCACCACAGAGGCTGGGGAGAAGGTGGAGTTGTAGGGACTACAAGTCTGCTGAAGCTCTGGGATTCTACTCTTCCTATGCCTCAACCCTGGGCTGGCGGGGTGCCTCTGCCTTCAAGGAATACATGTTTTTATGGGGGAATTGGACACAGATACAAGCAGTCAAAATGTTATTCATTGCGTGTTGTGGCAGAACTGTGCATGGTATGCTATGGGAACAGACTAAGAGGAAGCATAACTGCTGGGGATCAAAATTTGGAAGTCATGGATTGGTTTTTTCCAAGTGATTTTGAGGAGTGAACCTTAATAATAATCGTTATTATTTGTTGTTTGTCAGGCCCTGTTCAGTTTGTTTTCTGCTTTAAGTTCTTGTGGTAATAGTATTAGTTAGGTGTCATTATCCTTATCTTACAGATGAGGAAAGTGAGGCACATAAAAGTTAAATTACTTGCCCTAGGTGCCAGTGCCAATAAATAGAGGAAGGTTTCAAACTCTAGCATTCAGGCTTCAGAATCCACACTCTTCACCCCTACACTGACGGTGAAGAAGTTAAAAATGAAAATGTTAACAAGAAGACAGCGCATGTGAAAACATACGTTAAATCTAACATGTTGAGTGAATGACCTTTAGTTATGTGGTATAGTTTAATATGGGGTCAGGGGAACACAGTGCTGTTAGCCAGAAAAGGTGGTAGGTAAGTTACATGGTCAGAGCAGAATTTTTAGGAATCTTTGAGTTTTGGGACTGTAGAAGGTGAGAAGCTGTGGCCAGGGAGGTCTGTGATGTGGCTGTTTTGGTAGTTCTGGGCAGAGATGACAAGATTGTGAAGTGAAGTGTCCCTGGGGTGGTGAGGATGATGGGTACTTGAATAGACATTAAGTAAACAGACTAGTCAGGACATGCTGAATAATAGAATGAAGAAAGGAGTGATTATTTAAAAACACACACACACACACACAGACAACAAAAGCTCTGTTAGATGTTTAACAGGGAAATGGAGAAAAGGGGATGGACCCTTTTCTTTTCTTTAAAGAATTGACAGAATATGGGGAAAGCTACAGAGAGGAAAGAGGGGGAAGAATTGGAGTTCTTCTCAGAGTTTTTAATCTAGCAAACACACAGAATGAACTTTAAAAAAGAATGAATGAAAAATTTGTTTTAAGTGGAAAAGAATGAGAATCTTAAGAGCACATGAAAGTACAGGACTTGAATAAAATCAGCTATGAAGATCTATGTATCATTACAGCTAATAGTTGATATTTACAGAATGAATCTTAGGAGAGGACTAGGACAGGTGCTCTTTAGAGAATTAGGCAAGAAGGAAAGGAAAACTTCAACTTTGAATTTCTTCCAGAGGAATGCAGCATGTTATTTGGCACCTAGGAGACAGAATGTTTCTGGAGGCAGGAGGTTTGGAACTGAGGAAAGAATTAGGCTTAATTAAGCACAGTGACTTTGCTGAACAGATACAGTCTTGTTGTCGTTAGGAAATGTTATTTGTGGGCTTTTTAAATCATTTAGCTGGATTTGTTTTGGTTTTGTTTTAAATTTTCCTCTGAAGGTGGTAGTCAATATTGTGCCATGTAGTGGTAGATTATGTTTTGTCTTAATGCTATATCTGAATACCTTGGGGACTATAAATTAACTTGAAAATAGCAGTAATATGTACTTCTTAGTTTTCTATATAGTGCTGGCTGATTTTTTTTCTTAAGATTTTGTTTATTTATTTGAGAGAGAGAGACGAGTTGGGGTGAGGGGGGAGAGGGAGAAGCAGGCTCCCTGCTGAGCAGGGAGCCCGATGTGGGGCTTGATCCCAAGACCCCGAGATCATGACCTAAGCTGGAGGCAGACACTTAAATGACTGAGCCACCCAGGCGCCCCAGTTGCTGGCTGATTGTTGTCTAAAACATGGATTTTCTCCAACTTTAAAGGGGAGAAAATGGCAAAATAAACAACTCCACCCAAGATTAAGTGACTTGTGCTGTGTGTTTTCTTAGCTCTTCAGGAAGCTGCAGCAAGGTTTGAGGAGTTAAAGGCCCAAAAAGAGCTAAGACAGCTGCAGGAAGACCGAAAGAATGACAAGAAGCCGCCGCCTTACAAACATATAAAGGTGAGAAAAAAACGCAGGAGACTGTCTCCAGGAGACACCCTCTTATGGAGTACTGTCTCCTGCTGTGTTCATGAAGAGGTTTGGAAGCACAAGCAGAGTTGCTTTTAGGTAGAGGTGTGAACTTGAAGGAAGATAAGAAAAAGTTCCAGAGCACCATTCCTAGCACATTGTCTATAGCTTCTGTAAAGTCAGTTGTGTGTTGATAACTTTTTCTGTTGCCTTAGAAAGTCTTCTTATAGAAGTGGACTGGATTAAGTCTGTGCACAGGCAACATCTTGCAGTTTGAAGGGGACTCAAGAAGCATGATAAAAAATGATAAATAGCCCTTAGATAGTATGAATAATACACATGGTAAGTCTTCTTGGTAATGGCTGATACTAAAGATATTTTAGGTAACCAGTATGATTAGGTTTCCCAAGGTCAGGAGAATTGATGTTATGTGTACCTAACCCCTAATGTGCCTAGTAAAAGAGTCCTCACCATTTATCATCTGGGTACAATGGACCCTTTTTATTTTTTAATGTTTTAAATCATTTTTATGAATAATTTATAGAAGTAAAAATACAGGAATAATGAACAAATTTTTTAGACATTTTAATAAGTATTTCCTAAAACCTCTTTTAAAAACCTAATTTTTATTAAGTTAGTTGTAATGTTCAAACATCAGAAGACATGAAAGAATACTGTTAGCTCTATTAACAGAATGAGACTGCCCAGGTTCTTGTTGTAAAATATTTGTGGTGATGTCATGCCTGAATAAGAATACCATATTTCTTTTTTGTCAGTAGAAATTCATTGTTAGTGTACCCATTGTATTTGAGTTTCTGAAGTCTTAAGAGTGTGAGGTTTCTTGTAGAGATCAATTTCATCACTAGATCTTTAGAGTCTAATGTGGACAAGTATATCCCAAGTATTCCATGGGACATACTTAAAAATCTGAAATTCAAATTTAATCAGGTGTCCTGGATTTTTAAAGCAACCCTACTAAAAGCAGACTACAAAGATGTTATCTCTAATCTTTCATACTTTCTGGAAAGATGATTTAATACTTTAGGCAATGCAGTAGAAAAACTGAAGTGTCACTATTTCACTGTTGCATGCATAAGGTTTTGTGATTCCATCATTTTTCTGTTTTCTTTTTAGTTTAGTCTCTTTTGGTAAAGGTGGGAATGACTGATGAGTAACTATGAATAACGATGAAACAGTAAAATGTTATGAGATACAGGAAATTAAGAACACTAAAATTCCATAATATAGCTCAGATTTTTTAAAGGGTTTTAATGGATGTACATAGTAGTTGCAGGATAGGATGAGGGTATTTTTTTTCTTTTTTAAGTGAATTTTCTTTTTGATCTTTAGAAGACCTCTAAGAAAATAAAATTCATAAAATATCAACCCTTACAAATAAAACTGCTGAAGAAAATACACTCAAAACCTGAAATTGGGTCTAAATGGACGCTGGTGGTGGTGTACTGAGAGTTAAATGGAGTTATTGTGCGTGGAGATATAAGATAGTGCGTGGAGTTCTAAGTGTAGTTAGGCCTCAAAAGGGGGAAAAGAATCTGGTTCGTGGCCACAGTCTTAGGTGTCAGACAACAACAAGGGAGGCATTTCAGAGTTGCACATCAAGCATAATGAGCTCTTGAGAGAGCAGCTTCCTGGGAGTGATCTAAATCACAGAATTTAGAAGCCAACTTCTTTCCTCCATACCCCCTCCCCACCTTTTTAAAAACAAATACATTTCCAGGAAACATTTTAGAACAAGGGTTGGCAAACTATAGTCCATGGGCCAAATCTGGCCTACTATGGTTGGGAAAAAAATTAAAATGAGAAGAATAATTCTAGGGACATGAAGTTTACATGAAATTCAAATATCAGTGCCCATAAATGACGTTTTGACACTCATCCATGCTTATGTAGAAATTGTCTTTTGCTGCTTTTATGCTACAATGACAGAATTGAGCTACATCTGTAGCCTGTAGAGCCCAAAGTATTTACTGTCTGGTCTTTTACAGGAAAGGTTTGTCAATCCCTGATCTAGAGTGAGCATTTAGCTGTACTTATGTATCTGTATTGTTCTTAATCATGTGGGGGTTTTTTTTGTTAGTTTGTTTTTGCTTATATGTTATGTTAGGCAAGAAACTTATTTGGGATTAATAACAAGTTAGATCAGATGTTAAGAAAGAATGGTTGAAACATATCTTTATAGAGAGAAAAGGAGTAGGATGAAACTTTTATGGGAGGGAGGTCAGGTAAAGATACCTTGAAACAGACAGATATGTTCTAATACCCTATGTGTAGGACCTGCAGTCTGAGGTGAGTGAGTCAGTCCTTACCTTCTGTCACCTTAGAGTTTGCTTTCCTCGGCGTTGTGACTTCCATTTACGTGTGGTAGTAGTATTCCTCCATTAATGAAAAGTTTACAGGTTTGTTTTGTTTTTTAAGATTTTATTTATTTATTATAGGGAGAGAGAGAGCACACAAGCAGGGGAAGCAACAGAGGCAGTCTCCCCGCTGAGCTGGGAGCCCGACAGGAGGCTTGATCCCAGGACGCTGGGTTCATGACCTGAACCAAATACAGACCCTTAACCATCTGAGCCACCCAGGCATCCCAAGAAGTGTATAGCCTTTGCCAGTATTTTGAAGTATCTGGGAAGAGATCTGGCAGAGTTACATCCTTGTAAGGTGTTATCAAGAACTGGTTTGAGGACAGTTTATTTCTATAAACAGATTGGAGATTTTATAATATGAAGAGGCAAAAACTAAAATGTTAGAAATGGAACCTTTTGGGAATTTATTTTATATA